TCAGGGGTTACGTGCTGCTCCTCCGCTCGCCTGTGCTGGCCCAGCAGAGGCACCTTCCCTTCTCCCCAACAGCACAACGAGGTCACCTTGCCCAGACACCCAGAGACGCCCGTCCTGCGGGTGCTGCAGCCTGGCTGGAGGGACGTGACGGGCCTCCGAGTGGCCTGTTTTCTGAACAAGTCCTTTTTTGAAATATTTCGCTTTTTTTTTTTAACAACCTTTTCATTCTCCAGTGACTGTTTCTGCTTTTATTTTTTTTTTGTAGTTTGGCATGAAGGCAGATACCAGAATCTCCAAATTCCTCATGCTATTGAATTTCCATTTTGCATTCAGCTTGAGCCATTTCCAGGCTCTTTTCTTTGCAGAAACAAGCTCTGACTTTGTGTGTCCTGGCATGACAGCGTGTGGAATGAATGTCACTGTAATGCATCAGAAATGAACCCGTTGCCATCTCTCCCAGCCTTCACGGAAAAAAATATTGGAGCAGAGCATCGTCGTCCTCTGGGCTGGAAAATCGTTCTCCCGAGTGGACGTGGCATCAGGGCAAGAATTTGTTCTTCTGGATCTGGAGGGAAGCCTGAATTGCTGAACCTTCACCGACTCCGCCAGCCCCAGAGCAGAATTTGTAGGAGAATCACTCTGCAATATAATATCAGGTGCTCTGGTAAAAACTCTTCTGTTTGGAACAGAACACACGTGTTGAACCTTTTACGTTGACCCAAGGATTAAGGCGCGTTGCCTTCGTTTTGGGTTAACGAGTGTTGGTTGTATTTTAACTCAGAGGCCCTCTGGTGTTTCTGATGCGCTCGTAGGAGCTACGCTAAGAGTTAAGGGGTTGCTACTTCAAGGATACTGCAGTTGTGACCTCGGAGAGGTTAATGCCAGTCCATTTGCTTCTTCAAAGGCACAGCTGGTGTGGAAGCCTGCCCGGCTGGCACCTGAAGCCCCGTCCTTAATGGCGATTTAACTCGCTTTTGTAGGCAAGTGAGGAATGATAGAACGTAATCTTGCGCTCCAGGAGTTTGTCAGAGATAAAAGAATGTAGGTCGCTTCTTGCAAGGCTGCTAGGGGGAGAAGGGATTTACTTTCTGACCTGTCAAAGAGGAAAGATGGAGAGATCTTGTCCTGAAGAACAGCCTTTGTTCAAGCGCCCGGCACGGGCTTTCTGCAGACAGGAGTGGGGTTGCGCGGCTTTGGGTGCTGGGTGAAGGATGCAATGAAAAAGGGGCCTAAAAGGTCAGAGCAAGGCTGTGGCGGACGTTGATGGGAAAGCTTATCGATGGCAGGAGTCTGGTGTCCTGCAGCACTTGGTCAGGCCCCCATGTTGCTGGTCCAGCCTCTGGGTCACCCTTGTTTTTAAGTGACAGCCACATCAGCGTTTGCCCACAGTCCAACCTCCCGAACCGTTCTCGCTGAAGATCTTGCAGATATTATTTTTTTTTTAATAGAATGGGGCAAAAAGGGTGAATAAGATTTCTCCTGAAAATATCTGTGTCGCTCTGCTTCGGAGCCTTCGCTTGACCCTCTCGGGATCACTTCCACTTCTGTGGTGACTTTCTTTCCTGGGTTTTGTCACCTTCCCTTCTGGGAATTCTGCATTTAACGACTCGGATCTTTGTCCGCTTTCTCCTTTTCAGACCCTTTTGCTTGGGCTGTAGTCCCAGATAAACCTGGAAAAACCTGGTAACTTGGGTGGCTCCTTCAGTACCAAGAGCCACCATGTGTGACACCTGCTTGTTGTAATTAACTCTTGGAAATCACGTAGCAAAGAGCGTGGTGGCGAACGATGAGCAGCCACAGAGGCAGAATTCAAAAGCTGTCGCTTCGTGGAGTGCCTGCGGCGGTGAGGTCTGGGCTAAGTACGGGCAAAATAATCCCAGGCCAGAGTTACAGAGTTGAGGAGGCTGTTAAATAGGACAAAATCAGTTGGTTGTGGTGTTTTTTTTTTCCTGAATAGCCTTTGTTCAAACGAAATTGCTTTTGAGGAGAAAGGATGACTCTGAGACGACACCAGAGCGAGATTTGCTTGCTTCTCATCTTACTTCCCGCGTCTTATTCGCAACATAGAGATGAAAACGTTTCCTCTCTCTCCCCATGTGTCTACACAGTCTGTTTTGTTGTCGAGGTGGTCTGCTTGCCCACACAGAAGCACTGAGCATAGTGTGAATTCAGCCTCAGCTGAAGCCTCCAAGTGTAAAACAAAGAAGAGAGATTAATAAGATTAGATATGGTGTTCCCTGAAGGAATCTTGTGGATGTTTTGGAGAGCTACAGAAATGAGGCCATCGCTGCCGCATTGGTTCTCATGCTGTGTCCTGTTTTGAGGCTCCCCACACCCAAACTCCTCCTCCTGAACTCTTCTCTCCCTGGATTTTCGTTTTTTTTTTTTATTTTTATTTTTGCAGGACGCCTACTCTGAAATCGCCTACCTTTTCGCCGAGTTTTTCCGAGACCTTGACATCGTCCCATCTGACATCATTGCGGGCCTGGTTCTTCTGCGCCAACGGCAGCGGGCGAAGCGCAACGCCGTGCTGGATGAGGTGGGTGGAGGGGGCCCAGCGCCGCGCGTGGGGGACCGTGGGCATCTCGCTTGGCCTCTAGACTTTACCTCCTGCTCCTCCTGACTTTACCACCTGAGTGTGCCTGCGGTGAGTTCCAACGGAACTCCAGAGGGAAATTTTTGCTGTGGGAGCAATTAGATGTTGGAATAGTCTTCCAAGGTGGGTTCATAGAATTGTCAGGGTTGGAAGGGACCTGAAAGATCATCCAGTTCCAACCCCCCCGCCATGGGCAGGGACATCCCCCACTAGATCAGGCTGCCCAGTGCCCCATCCAGCCTGGCCTTAAAAAGTTCCAGGGATGGGGCTGCCACCCCCTCTCTGGGCAACCTGTGCCAGGGTCTCCCCACCCTCATGGGGAAGAACTTCTCCCTCACATCCCATCTGAACCGACCCATCTCCGGCTTCAATCCATTCCCTCTAGTCCTGCCACTACCAGACCTCCTAAAAAGCCCCTCACCAGCTTTCTTGTAGCCCCCTTGAGATACTGGAAGGCCACAATAAGGTCTTCTTGGAGCCTTCTTTTCTCCAGACTGAACTGCAGATGCCTCAACTTTAGACATTTTTAAGGCTCAGCTTGACACAACTGTATTTCTTTACCTTGAAGAGTTGGACTTAGATGATCCTTGAGGTCCGTCCAACCTGGTGTTCTGTTATACTATTATTCTGCAGTGCCATGAGCCTCTTGCCAGTCACTGAGCTTGTAAAATAGAGATGAACTTCTTTAGCAGCTTCTTCTGAGATTCCCAGAGGGCCCAGCTGACACTGAGTCAAGCTTGTGATGAAACCTGTCGTCTTCTCTAGGCGGGTGATTCGGTTTTAGCTCTAGACCCCAACTGGGCAGCTCCTTTGAAGGAGAAAGCGAATGGGAAGATTCTTCCTTCTATAAAGTGACGTGGAGAAGACTCCAGCACTTGGGTAAAGCTGCAGGAGGAACGTTAAGGGAGAAATTCCTCAACTTTCAGGCTGTTGCTGGCATTGAGATTTGTAGATTGTCAACCCAGTAGAAAATGGTTTGGTTTTGTTTTTGCCCAGAGGTTGAGGTTCAGGCAGAACTAATGGCAGCAGAACTGGAACCAGCGGAGGAGAGTGGGTGGGATACTTGAAAGCATCTTGTCCTAGGTTCTATAATACTTTTTGTTTCTCGAGTGTAGATTTTTGTCCTGATGTCACAGAGGAGAATTTTTATGTATGTTTGTGACTTACAGGCAAACAATGACATTTTAGCTTTTCTGTCCGGGATGCCAGTGACCAGGAACACAAAGTATCTGGATCTGAAAAATGCGGTAAGTCGCTGTGCTGTGATCTTGCAAACTCGCCGTGCTTCCCCACGTGGTCTGTTTTCTTTTTCTCTTTGGCTTCTCTTATTCCCTTCTGCCCCTTTCTGGAATAATCAAAGTAATTAAAGATTAGCCACAACAGAATAGAACACCACCGCTTGTTCTCTGGAGGCTTTTTTGTCTTCAGATCGCTTTTAAAGCCCTGTCTTTCTCCAGCCTCCACTCTGTGGGAGGCAGTACTGATTTCCACTCGGGTTGGGGAAGGCAACGTGAAGGTTCTCCAGAGCCAGAGGTAGGAGTTGAGCGCTGGAAGCACAACCAGCAGGACTCGTGGAGCCCAGCAGGCAGAGCTCTGTCTTGATCAGGGCAAGGAGCTGCCTGGAGTGAAATGGAACCTTCCTCCTTGGGGCTTGACTGTCAGCAGTTCTCAGGACGGAAACAGCTGCAGCCTGTTCTCTTCTGTGGGAATTAAACTTGGCTTTTTCTCCTGGCGTGCCGCTATTTCAGCCTTTTGTCGGGCAAACCGTATTCACCTCCCTTGATCAGATGATATTGCTGCAAGAGGGGTGAGATTGACCCAATCCCAACACCTCTACTCAAGTGATTTTGTGATGATCAAGTGATTTTTCTTTTTTTTTTGTGATAATCAAGCGATTCTGTGATTAACCTGCTTGTGGCTGGGCTGTACCGCGTCGGGTTTAATGCTCACGTCCTGCTTGTGCGCAGCCTCTCTCTCTGAATTAGAGGTGTGTGGGGAGAGATGTCAGCAACAGCACCGAGGCTTTTTATGGTCCTCTCTGGGCATCTGATGGCCCGTGACTCTGTGGAAGCGGTTTTGTTTAGTGAGCTCATCTTCCTGGAGACCTTAAATAGTTTCTCTTCTCATCTTGGGTGAGGAAAAACCCACGGAGGGTTTGCAGCAGGGGGGTTCATACACAGAGGAGGGGTTTCTCTAGAGCTAATTCCTAGTTTGGTTGAACAGCGAGTGGGGCCCTTCCACTCGGGGAAAAAAGAGCCGTTCTGGGGAGGGGGAGGATCTCACCCGGCATCACCAGCTCGCTCTGTGGCAATCGCTGACGGGGCTGTTCTGGTGGTGCTGGGAGAGAAGGCTGATGCTCAGCACGAAGGGTTGCACGTGTCTAACTGTGATGGAGAAAGGGGAAAACGGCTGAAAAAGCCTCACGGTGTAAAAGCGAATAAGGCCTTGAGCGAGCCTCTTGTCTCTTTCAGCAAGAGATGCAGCGGTACAAAGAGGTCTGTTACTACATGCTGTTTGCCCTGGCTGCCTATGGCTGGCCCATATACCTGATGAGGAAGCCCACATGTGGACTCTGTCGCCTGGCCAGATCCTGCTCGTGAGTGGCCATTCTATCCCTCTGCCTCCTCCTCTGCCCTTTTCCCTTCTGTTTGCTCCCAGGTTTCAGATACCCTTCTCCATCACCCCTCTTATTTCCTCCTCTTCCCTTCTGCTTTCTTCTTTTCCCTGCTCGTGCTTTTTCTTTCCATCTCTCTGTAACTTCATCCTCTGACGTCTTTCTCCTCAATGTCTTCCTTACAGTTGCTTTTCTGCTTACCTTGTTAAATAAACCAGACTATCCTACGCCCTCTTCTCTCTGGGGCGCCGAGGATCGCACCAGTCCTGCGCCCTTTGAACAACCAGTGGAGAGAGCTCAGCTGGCGCAAGGCTGCTTTCACACTCAGTCAAAACAGCCGCCTTGGAGCTCAGAAAATCAGATTTATCAGCAAGGGAGCTGACATTTGGGTCTTTATTAAAGCATTGGTAAAACTTGGCCAGAGTTTGTGCTGCGTTCTCTAGGACTAATTGGGTATTTTTCTGCTGTGCCATGTCGTGCTCACCTCCTGGTAGCAGTGCTGTCGTTCAGTTCAGGGTTGCCATGTTTTAAATGTTCGCTTTCAGCTGCCACGGTGGTGTCGTCACATTCTCTTTGGGGATGAGCTTTTTGCACTTAGACAAGCAACTTCTGTGCTGGACCTCTGAGGAGGAACGTACTTCCTTTTGAGTACTTGTATTTGTGAAGTGTCTCGTCGGGGAAGGAAGGAGGAAAAAAAAAATCTGTGCTTCTGTTTTTGTTCTGGCATAATTCTGGGCTTTTTTTTTTTTTTTTGTTATAAATAGGTCTAGATCTCAGTTAAATGATAGCAGCTTTGTGCGTCGAAGCAATGTAGGACTGTGCTCTGAAGCACAGTGTCCCTTGAGGAGAGATCCCAGCCCCACCATGCGTTGGTTCCTTGGGGACTCCTGGCGCTGTAGCTCTCTCTGGTGCTCAGAACGAAAACTGCATCTGATCCCAGTGCCCATTTTTGAGGCTGAGTTGTAGCTGTTTTGTGCAAGAGCTCCTACAAGTGAAGCAAATCGCTGTTGAGATGAAACCAGTGTGACACTCGGGATTTGTCTTTCCTTTACCTCTAGACGTTCTACTCTAAAGCCAGGCTCTTCCACGTTCCCCTTTTTCTCAAGGTTTTGTTTTTGTTTTTTTTCTTTTTTTAATTCTGCAGATGTTGCTGTCTCTGTCCTTCGCGGCCCCGCTATGCACCCAGCATCACCATCGAAGAGGACAACTGCTGCGGCTGCAATGCCATCGCCATCCGGCGCCACTTCTTGGATGAGAACATGACCTCGGTGGACATTGTCTACACGTCTTGCCATGACGCGGTAAGGAGAATCTCCAACCCCCTTCACGTTTGGGGCATCGCTCCTAAAGGCGTCATCCCTTCCTGATGGGATTTCCATGCTTCCACGTGGAAAAAGAAGGAAGCTTAAGCCTTTTTTTTCTGACTCTAGACCTTCCTGTCCTATCTCTCCATCAAGAGATTCTGCCACTTGGACAGAAATATTTGCTACTGCTGAAAAAATCAGATCATTCAGAGGAGTGCTTACCCATCAGGCGTGCTGCTCTGCCTCCTTTTCCCTGAGCAGGAGGGCAGTGAAGGAGGAATGTCTCACCTGATTGTTACAGTAATGGATCTTTTTCAGGTTTATGAAACGCCTTTCTATGTGGCTGTGGACCATGATAAGAAGAAGGTGGTCATTAGTATCCGAGGAACTCTGTCTCCAAAAGTAAGTGCGCTGCGCCGTGGCCTCACGTACCCTTGGCCACCCTGGCAAACTTTCAGGAGAGTCCGAGACCTTCCTGACTTGCTCTTGGTGTTCGACCTACCCGAAACGTGGCACTTAGTGCCATGATCTGGCTGATGTGGTGGGGTTGGGACATAGGCTGGGCTTGATGATCTCAGAGGGCTTTGCCAGCCTCAGTGATTCTGTGACTCTTTTTTCTTGCAGGATGCCCTGACTGACCTCACTGGGGATGCAGAGCGCCTTCCGGTTGAGGGTCACCATGGCACGTGGCTGGGACACAAGGTGTGTAAAAGAAAAGAAAGCAAACTGTGAACAAACCCCCCCTGCTTCTGTAATTATCGCCAAAAAAAGTGGTCTTAATTGCTGGAGGTGCTTTTCAGGAGGGCGTTACATAATTGCACTGAAATAACTTCGAGATGTTAAAATAAAATCCTTAGTGCAGCAGTTAAAATTGCTATGTCTCTAATTAAACCCGTTCAATTAGTAAAAACTAAACTGTAAAAGGCATCTGTGGAGACCTAGAACATTATTGCAGTCATTTGGATTGCTTTTTTTCCTTCCAACGACCTTCTTGGAATTGGCAACGAAATCCCGAGAACACGTTTAAAATTCTCCTGCAGCGGGACAGGCATTGAACCTCGGAAAAGGACGCTGGCAGGACTCGCGTCTGTGTCATTAGACTGGTGCTATGTGCCTGTGGTAGTGATCAGGTCCGGGCTGACTAAATCAATTTACTATCGAGCTGACCTTTGCCCCAGTCTAGCAAAAAGTAATGACACGCCTGCTGAGTTTGAAGATTAGCAAGGATTTGGCAGCCTCTCAAGATACGATGCCAGGTTGGGGGAAAAAAGAAAACAAACAAAACACAAAAACTGGAGGTTGCGTGTGTTGGAACGCGGCGGCTGCTCGGAGGAGGTGAGATGCTGCTGATCGGGTCACGGTCCCTTCAGGGTCCCTAGGAGCTCCTGCTTCATTCATGACATCCTGCCTGGGAATGAGACCTCTGTGCTTTGATGCCTCAGGAAGTGGAGCGTTGGTAGCTGATACAAGAGTGTGCTCAAGCGTCTGATAAAGAAGTTTCTCCAAGCGTTGTGTGGATGGCTCGGTGGTCTCCACGTCTCCCAGGCTTGAGAGGTGGGCCCAGGCCAACCTCGTGAAGTTCAACAAGACCAAATGTCAGGTCCTACACGTGGGTCGAGGCAATCTCAAGAGCAAATACAGGCTGGGAGCAGCCCTGAGGAGAAGGCTTGGGTGTGTTGGTTGACAAGAGGCTCGGTGTGAGCTGGCAGTGTGCGCTTGCAGCCCAAAAATCAACCCGTGTCCTGGGCTGCATCAGCAGGAGTGTGACCAGCAGGGCGAGGGAGGAGATTCCCCCCCTCTACTCTGCTGTGGCGAGGCTCCACCTGGAGTGCTGCGGCCAGCTCTGGAGCCCGCAGCGCAAAAGCGATGTGGATCTGCTGGAAGGGGTCCGGAGGAGGCCATGAGGATGATCAGAGGGCTGAAGAACTTCTGCTGTGAGGACAGGCTGAGGGAGCCGGGATTATTCAGCTTGGAGAAGAGAAGACTGTGGGGTGACCTAGTAACAACCTTCCGATGCGTGAAAGGGGCGACAGGAACGCTGGAGAAGGGCTTTTTACAAAGTGACAGGACAAGGGGCAATGGCCTGAAACTGCAAGAGGGCAGATTTAGATTAGATCTAAGGAAGAAATTCTTCACGGTGACAGCGGTGAAGCCCTGGCACAGGCTGCCCAAGGAGGCTGTGGATGCCCCATCCCTGGAAGTGTCCAAGGCCAGGTTGGACGGGGCTTGGAGCAACCTGGGCAGGTGGGAGAGAGGAGTCCCTGCCCACGGCAGGGGGTTGGAATGAGATGATCATCAAGATCCGTTCCAACCTCAACCATTTTACGATTTTCCGCAAGTGTTGTGTGCCTCCTATTTGGGTAATGGGTATTTCCTTTGTTTTCCCCCGAAATGAGAAGCTTCACCCACCAGGCGGTAGATGAAGGAGTTGGTGTTTTGTCACGTAACAGATTTTTCACTACGTGAACCTTTGCTATTTGTTGGAACGCTTCCGAAGCGTCACGTCTGCTGTCGGTGATTGTGTCGCTTGGCTTTGTACTAATTCCTTTAGCTCCGTGTGACTTTGTGCAGTCAGCGGGATCAGCAGTTCATACAGAGAAAGGCAAGTAGAAGGGAACAAAAAGGGAAACGAGGGGAGTTTGTTCTATTTTTAATGTGCAGAAAAGCAAGTAGGTAGATCCTGGTGGAAGCTGGCTTTTCTTTTGATCTCTTTGTGAAAATATTCATATACCAGTGACTTCTCTGAAACATCATCACCTCATTCCCTTTGTTCTGTATCGAGTTTTTACTTGGCCTCCGTGTTCCTTCTTTTTACAGAAATGTAGCTTTATCTGAAATTATTATCAATATTAATCTTCAGACAATAATGTACCATTGATCCCTGAGGGAAGCTAACGGAGCTAATAGAATTTAAAAATGCCTGTCCTAATGTGTTTTTAATGTCCAGAAGTCAACCAGAATACAAAAAAACCAAATGAGGTGTCTTGCTAACACATTTAATTTGGACAAAAGTACTTGGCCGTGCAGGAGCTTCCTGTGAGTTGTTTGATTTCGGTGATTTTTCTTGCTGATTCCAGCAGGCTGGGGTGGCCTCTTATCTCCAGCCGCGGAGCTCACCTCTCGCTGGGCTTCCCGTGGTGCTGATCAGACATCCTACAAATTAAAACTCTTGATGTTTACATGAGCCTTCTTAATCTCTCCACCAGCAAGTGTTTGATTGTTTGGGTG